GCCACTTCAACCGACTCCGAACACCTCCACCGACTCTGACTTTTCAGTATGACCTCGTCCGCTTCCAGTTTAACAAAAAAAAAATTAAAATTTTTTTTAAAAAATCGACCTAGACGCCAGGTCAGTGCCTAGTGATCTATGTAATATCAGATGACATATGGCGTCAACTACGCTCATAAATCAACAAGCAAATACGTTTTCGATCTAATTAACCCAATCAATTACTGACCATAGTGTTTATATAAAAATAAAATAATAAAGTAAAAAGTGACGGATCACCGCACCTGAGCTGCAACAGTATGAGATCGAGTAGGAAACAGCTTGGTGATGCAAGCCGTGTTGAATCCGTGCTCCGAGAGCCCGATCGCCCGCCGGCTCCGACGACGACGGCGTCGTAGGTGTGGTCGACAATCGTGTACGCCGATCTATCCCCAACCTAAACATCGAAAGGATAAATTCTTAAGCGGATCGAAACCCTAGATCATCGATCTGAGCCGTGATCCGAAGCTCAGATCCCTGATCCGAATAAAGAGAGAAGGAGAGAGATTTGATTACCGTAGTAGATAGAAACCTTGAGGCGATCGAGAGGTTGTGCTTCGGCGAGAGGCGAAGGCCTCGGTTCACGAAAGAGCGCCACATTCTCTCTCTCTCTCTCTCTCGAGCGATGAGGAGCTCTGAGTTCTCTGTGATTCTTGCGCGCGCGAGTGCGATTGTGATCGACGAGAGCGGCGCTGGGTAAAATGGTGATTTTATTTTTATTTTTTTATTTTTGATGATTTATTACTGGGCTTTGTGCTGCCCACGCTCCGTCGGAATTGTTGGGAATTACGGGAGTGCCCCTTAGGAGGACATGACCTGTTGGGATGGCGCACGGTTTATTCTCTCGTGACGTGGATGGTCTAATGTAGAAGGGTTTTCTTTTTCTTTTTCTTTTTTTTAAACAAATTTTCATAGTAGACCTTTTCAAAAACTTAATCACCAAAGTCGACTAAGTTGCAACTTATTTAGCAATTTCGACCTAATTTTAGGCACTATGTTCTCAATCCCGCGAAGTTAGTCGACTAAATGGTTAACTTCAAGAGAGTTGGACTTCAATTACGCGAATGGTCTTGATTTCGAATCTCATTATCGCCAACATTATTTTATTTTTGGCTAAGATTTGAAACCATGCATTTTTAACTCATAACTTAACTTTTAATCTCTCAACCACTTGACCAAGTATATGAGATTGTGAATATTGTGTAGTTTGTAGGCTATAAAATCCACGGGAATATTAATCCCCATGGAGTTCAATAGAGATCTAAATTCTACGGGATTGAGAATCCTGTAGAGTTTAATTTTTTACTAAACTACACAAAATTCTCAATCTCATGTAGTTCATAGAACTTATTTATCAAATCAACCCAATTTCAACCAACACTCCTGACGTGGCTAAAAGCCTAAAACTAGATCAAATTAGATAAATAAGTTGCAACTAAGTCGAAAATAGTAAATATTTTTCACAAAGGATCTATTTAGAAAATTTGTCCTTTTAGTATTATTAAATCTTCAATAACTGCGTATTAGTCCCTCAAATCTTGTAAATTGCATATTAGTCCATTAAAATTTACAAGGTCTTGCAAAATGCTCCATATAGGTAACATATGTTAGTTTTGAGGGAAATATTCCGTCAATTCTAATGTTTGGAGGCAAATGACCATCCTACCACTCTTTATGCTCCTGAACTCATTTCTTAATAGGTTTAAACTCCATACCCGCTTGAAAACCCCAAACTCGCTTGAGTTCTTCTCTAATGGTTAGAAAAGAACTCTAATCCAAAATTGAGCTTCACAAATATTTGAAACATTAGAGAGAGGAGAAATTCGTTGATTGTAGGTGTTAGGTTAGGAGTTAACGCAACCTTGGTCAGGTCTTAATTGAAAACAAAGAGAATATTTTGCAAGAATTTGTAGGATTTTTAAGGGACTAATAACAATTATTGAAGATTATATATATATATATATATATATGTATGTATAGAGAGAGAGAGAGAGAGAGAGAGAGAGAGAAAGACTCCTATCAACTTAAGTTGATGTCCATCAAACTTCCTAGCCACTCATTTATTAATATAAAAAATATTTTCATATCATGTAAGGATCTCTAGACAATATGAGTGGCTAAATATGTAGCTAACGAGTTTTCATGCTTCAAAGAAAACTAGATAATCAAATTTTTAGTAACACTATCAAATACATCGTTAGTAACACTATAAAATAAATATCGCTTAGTAACAAAACTGTTAGCCTATGAAGGCCTTTCGCTATACCATATTGCACTGCTAAAAAATAAGGTATCCTAGACGGAAAATTCCGTCTAGGATACTCAGAATTCCGTCTAGAATGTGTATTCTAGACGGAATTCCGTCTAGAATAGGCGTCTAGGATGTTTCCGTCTAGGATGTAGTATTCTAGACGGAAATTCCGTCTAGAATACATTCCAGACGGAATATTCTAGACGGAATTCAAAACCGTCTAGAATACATCCTAGACGAATTATTCTAGGCGGAATTTCCGTCTAGAATAATGCATCCTTGACGGAAAAAATTTCCGTCTAGAATAAGTATTCTAGACGGAAATGTCCGTCTAGAATACTTATTCTAGACGGAAATTAATTTTTTTATTTTTTTTATTTTTAAAAAACATCCTAGACGGAATTTGAGCATCCTAGACGGAATTTCCGTCTAGGATACTATGCTACAGTAGTTTTTTTTTTTGCAGAATCTACTTTGAGTGTATGTACACAATATGTACACAATATTGAACAACAAAAAATTATATTCATATCCAACACAATCTAATTATATTTCAATATTAAATCCCATTATATTCAAATAATACATTCACCAAAATAATAAAGAGATACATAAATTGTTTACAAACTTTTACATAAATTGAGATTCTGCATCTTCATAGCGTAAAGAGCAGACCTACCCTTTAGAATGCATCTTCTCTAAAATAGAGATTGCTTCAATAGCAATACAAGCAACCATTTCTGTTGACATTCTGCAAAGAGAAACAGTCAAGATTACATACTTACACAAACAGTAACTTAAGAAATTCACAAAAGAGGTTCAAATACTCACGCATAGGAGTTATTATTCCAAACATCCCATACCAAACATCCCATAGACTCCCAACATATCCATCACCTATACAAATAACGGGGTGATCATAGCAACATATATATAAACATAATACGAAAGAAATCCATAACTAGGACGTTTATTATCAGTTACCATGACATAATAGTCCCCTTGGCGACCCTTGTAATAAACACGAGGTACCCCATGAAGAAAAGCCAAGGGTATTGCATAAATGAATGTACATCACATAAGTTCTGTTATTAGGCTACCAACCATAATTCAGGAAACAAGCATAAGAATGCTTACTTGTATACTTGCCACTCATAAGGTGGTCCATAATTTCAGCCTTTACTGCTTCTATGCTCGAACTTTAGACTAATCTGATAACAAAATTTTAGACTATGTATCGCGTTAAAGTTTCATTCAAACAACAACAATAGAAGAAAATAGATCTATATACTCAACTTATGGTCCATGCAACAAGAAACAATATCATTGACTAACCTGAAACTTAGACCTGTTCATTGGAAATGAAAGAGTCATTCATAAACGAAGACCTACATCAACATTTGGACTTGAAAATTAGGATGAAGAAAGTAACAAACACGTAGATATAAGCTCATGTTATAGAAATTGTACTGACATTTCACCAGAACTACGATGCGTGTCAATATTGGATAAGCAATTGGCAAGCCATCCTTCTGAAGACTGATCCAGGCTTGCGTTGGCAAAAGTACACCTATCATCTAATGCAAGTTGTATTATAAGCACCATACTAAGATAATTTTCTCAACTCTTAACATAAATCATTACGGTGTCAAAGCCAACCTGAGAAGACTGATCCTCTAGGTTCTTCCAACCCTTTATCAGTCTTATCTGAGTTTGTGTTTTCCCCTTAGTTATATATAGTTAGGAGAAATCTCGAGAGATAGCAAAGGAGAAAAACTTACCTCCGAAATGCGACTGATAGCCAAAATTTCCAGTATTACTAGTAGGAGTGTGTTCCCCCAATGTGTGCAACAAAATTGTACATATATTAAGAAGATAAGACCACATAGGGGACATACCGAGCTCTGAATCTTTCCAGCTATATTTCCCATCATATTTCCAGCTAAGGAATTCTCGTCTCCGGACAAATACAGATGGAAACCACTATATTTACCATCATCTCTTGTGAAAAAATGCTTTGCTTGTCCATCTGTTGTATGTTTTGGTAATGATACCAATTTCTGACGGTAGCAAAACGAAAAGTGTCAATGAAGTACAAATGGAGGACGACGAAAATGCTAGAATCTGAAAGGCAACTGGAAACAATAGCGGGGTAATGCATACCTTGCTAGAGATCTGAGAAATGGTATGCTCATCTTCATTTAAGATACATCAACAAAAATAACAATTAACTTCAAACCTACGGAACTAACAATACTGGTTCATGACAATATTTAAAAACCGATTATATGTGAACGATAACAGGAAACAAAAAACTTTCTTTGTGATCAATAACCATTACACTTTACTGATGATCGATTAGAGTACTAGAATACAATAAACAGAAAACAAAACATCCAATTGCGATAAGCAAATTTACCCTTCAATCTACATGAATTAATTCTCCGAAAGCCTCAACCAGTAGGCTCTATGAATGCAAATATATAAAACACCAAATTGATGATAAAAAAAAGTAGAACAATGCAATTAGTAATCCATCCAAATGTAAACTCCTAAAAATGGGGTTTCGCACAAACTTCACACAAAGAACACAAACTCATCAAATTTATCATCAAAGACTCCAACTTTATCATCTAACTTACATATTAACACGAAAGTTTACAGAAAACAGAATACCCATTTGGATATAGGACCAAAATCAAAGAAAAATGGAAGTATTCGGCCGATGGCAGTTTGGTAATTTGGAGTAATGGAGAAACCTGACCTCTGAGAACTGAGGAGAGTGATAGCCGCAGCTCGCCATGGCCGACGACGACGACGACGCGGATTTTGAGAGGGAAGGGCAGCGGAGGCCGGAGAGCTGGTGACGGGATTCGACGGGGAAGAAGGTTTTGCTGGATCCCCGGCGATCTTGAGCTTCTAAATTGCTTTTTGGTGGTGGAGGCCGTGGAGGGAGAGGGAGTAGAGTGGGGGGAGGGGTCGAGGGTGAGGTTGAGGAGGGAGAGGGTGAGGAGGGGGAGGCGGTGGAGGGAGGAGTAGGAGTTGAGGATTTGGGGGGTGGGGAGGCGCTGAAAATTTCGATTTGGGGGAGGGGAAAAAGAAGGGCGGCTGGGTTTTGACGCTTTAATTTTTTTTTAAATTTCAACGTACGCTAGACGGAAATTTCTGTCTAGAATATGTGGAAATTTTTAAAAAAAAATAATAAAAATAAAATAACCGTCTCCCCCACACACTAGGTGGAATGCACGTATATTGCACGTGGTAAAATATAAAAATGCTTAATTTTTATAGATATTTTTCACTTTTAAAGTAACATATAACTTAGGAATGGTAACATCATTACCAATAGTTTTTACAAACAAAATATTATTTCTTACCTGCGTAAATACGGTAATACTTTCTCCTTCAACATATATTGGCCCGCTCTACAATAGCAATTTTTTTCGCTCTAATAATATATTATGATTCTACTATCCTATTATTTATGAGAGAAACCTCTTAATTTACTTCTAATGATATAATGAAAGAGTCATAATACATTTCATAATTAGCTGAATTCAACAAATGAATGTGAAGTCTATTTGCATACTCAGTATAGGTCAGTTAAGATAAAAATCGGATTTAAAATAGATAATTAGATTATCATATAGGTTCAAGAGAGATCTTATGGTGGCAATATGCTCAAAAGAGAGGAGCCTAAGAAAAATATGTAACTGCATGGTACAATATAATTAGAGAAGAGAAGCTTAGAGAATTTGAAGGGTAATGAACGTCGAGGGCTATATAATTTTAATAAAAGATAACAAAATATGAATTTTACTATTTGATTATGGAGGAGGTTAACAACTAAGTCTATATACAAATATGTCACATCAGGAGGTTTGTTTTATTGTATTGTATAAGGATAATTGTATTAAAATTTTCAAGGAGCCAAATTGTATTAAACTAAGATATGCTCAACAATATTACTAACGATAACACAATCATAACTTGCATATTAAAGACCAATTAAATTTCATGCAATGAATACCAAAAACTAATATTGAATAATAAAATGAAATGTACATTCCATCATTTCAAAACTCAACCTGCCTGTCTTTTTTTGTAAGCCTACAGTCTCTCTTTTTTTTTTAACTTCTTGTTCTACGCAAGTCAGTGTCTCTTTAGTGCTTTATGAAGAAACAAATCAAGTATTCTTATAAAGTTTCAAATTACTAACTAAAACAAAGAGCCTAGGCTTACTTCCTGACCGAAGCTTATTCCAATCTTCAAAGAACTTCCAAATTGGATATTTAATATGGCATTTTTAAAATTGCACAATCTAAAATTTATGACTTGAGAAAAAAGGGAAGCCAGATATAATTATAGAACTATTTATAACCATTCGTAAAAACAAATATTTGCATACATGAGCGCACATGAGTTGCCAGCGAAATTGTAGAGGAGAATGCATTTCTTGAGAAAATTTGAATTTTAGAACTTCTGGTATTTATCTATAATTCAAAAAAATGGAGTTAATTTTTTTGAAGATATCATAAATTAGGATAGATATCACAAATCTATTTTTAACATCTCAAAAGTATTAAATAATTTATTAGTTTTAAAGGTATTCTTTCTGCGTATTGTGTATTGTATGATATAGAAAAGGTGGTTGAAAAGGAAAACGTAACTAATTTAATTTTTAAAGTAATATTATTTCTTAAAGGTTTCTTAAAAAGAGTGAAGACTGAAAATATTTTTTATAAATTTTCAAGGAACTTAAATAAAAGAGAAAGGGTCTACAAAGAAATTCAAGAGCAATGGCGTAGCATGGAAGAAGTAATGCTTTATTATATATGAAGGGAAGTAAGTTGTATATAACTTTTTTTTTTTTGATATAAAAACAAGGGAAAATCCCTGTTCATTAATTACCAAAAAGAGTACAATGTAGTTTAAATACAAAAAATCCTGGATACGAACTGTATCCAAATGTTGTAGGATAGAAAATAGAGTTTCTTCTAATTAGGAATGTATAACCTTCTTCTTCCAATGATCCGTGAAGATGAAGAGTGAGACTTGCCGTCATTCATCGTAAACACAGATATATGGAAGAACCAAAGCCAGCTATACATATAATTAGTAGAAACTAGACTTTCTATAATAAACAACAAAAAAACATGAAAATATAGAGTGTAGTATCTAGCTGATGTACAAAACTCTACAACTTATCTATCAGTCCGGCAAAAACCTCTTCAAAACCTCATCAAACACTAGCCATGAATATTGGATGGTCTTCAAGCCTTGCAGATAGACGTTGTACAGTAGATCCACTTTCAAAACCTATCCAAGCATGCAATCCAGAAATAGCTAAGTTAATAATAGACTTGTAAGAGAAATTAATCTGATCAAAGAGGGATTTGTTTCTTACAATCCATAGATTCCAGCACACTGAAGAGAAATAGTACGCCACAGATATCCCTTATTTCCTTGAAGATTCTCTACAGTTTGTAGCAGCTCTTCAAAGGATGTTGGCCAATGGAAAGGTAAACAATAGTCTTTGAAGTGTTTCCATACTTGATTTGAAATAGGACATGAGAAGAAAAGATGATCTCTTGTTTCTGAATCCATCCCACAAAAAGTGCATATTGAATCACGCCGCCATCCTTTTAACAGAAGATTATCCTTGGTGTTAAGTCTATTAGTGGATAATAGCCAAGTAAAGATACGAACTTTGCTAGGAATGACGGTATACCAAATAACTTTGTAGATAGGAGAAAATATCCCTCTGGAATTTAGGAAGTTATAAAAAGATTTCACTGAGAAAATTCTGTTAGTCGTAAGAATTTTCACTGACAATATTACTAACGATAACACAATCATAACTTGCATATTAAAGACCAATTAAATTTCATGCAATGAATACCAAAAACTAATATTGAATAATAAAATGAAATGTACATTCCATCATTTCAAAACTCAACCTGCCTGTAACAAAGAGCCTACAGTCTCTTTTTTTTTTAACTTCTTGTTCTACGCAAGTCAGTATCTCTTTAGTGCTTTATGAAGAAACAAAGCAAGTATTCTTATAAAGTTTCAAATTACTAACTAAAACAAAGAGCCTAAGCTTACTTCCTGACCGAAGCTTATTCCAAGCTTCAAAGAACTTCCAAATTGGATAGTTAATATGACATTTTTGAAATTGCACAATCTAAAATTTATGACTTGAGAAAAAAGGGAAGGCAAATATAATTATAGAACTATTTATAACCATTCGTAAAAACAAAATGCATACATGAGCGCACATGAGTTGCCAGCGAAATGGTAGAGGAGAATGCATTTCTTGAGAAAGTTTGAATTTTAGATCTTCTGGTATTTATCTATAATTCAAAAAAAAAATGGAGTTAAATTTTTTGAAGATATCATAAATTAGGATAGATATCACAAATCTATTTTTAACATCTCAAAAGTATTAAATAATTTATTAGTTTTAAAGGTATTCTTTCTGCGTATTGTATGATATAGAAAAGGTGGTTGAAAAGGAAAACGTAACTAATTTAATTTTTAAAGTAATATTATTTCTTAAAGGTTTCTTAAAAAGAGTGAAGACTGAAGACTGAAAATATTTTTTATAAATTTTCAAGGAACTTAAATAAAAGAGAAAGGGTCTACAAAGAAATTCAAGAGCAATGGCGTAGCATGGAAGAAGTAATGCTTTATTATATATGAGGGAAGTAAGTTGTATATAATTTTTTTTTATATAAAAACAAGGGATAATCCCTGTTCATTAATTACCAAAAAGAGTACAAGGTAGTTTAAATACAAAAAATCCTAGATACGAACTGTATCCAAATGTTGTAGGATAGAAAATAGAGTTTCTTCTAATTAGGAATGTATAACCTTCTTCTTCCGATGATCCGTGAAGATGAAGAGTGGGACTTGTTAGACCCTAGAGGGCGGGTAATTAGGGTCTTATGCTAATCTAATCCGATTGTATGCTAATTAAAACTTATTAACAAGTTATCCTAGCAAGTATGAAATACAACATGATATGTGAGCTAGGATAAGTAATATGAACAATGAGATATATTCTATATGATAAAAATATATGCAAGGATATATAAACTAACATAATGGTGATATAATCAAACTATAAAAGTGATAGGGCAAAATATACAAGAGTAATAGGCAATGGCGATATAAGATAAATGCATAAGCAAATGCGCCAATGACAACTCAAACACACTCAAATGATCACGGAGTTCGGACCTTCCGTCCTACGTCTCTGCTCCCCACTCCCGGGGAGAAATCCACTATCACAATCGGGTTTTCTACGTTCACCCGAATAACGTTTACATCTCACAATGTCGGTTTTCAACGCTCACCGATCAACGTTCACACCTCACACTCTCATTCGATTTTCTAGCTCACCGAAAACTTTACAATCTCACAATATAATAAATGATTTGTTCTCTACAATAGATGAGCAATCTCACAATATAATAAATGATTTGTTCTCTACAATAGATGAGAACTCAATGTAGGCTCACACTCAATGTTACATACTATGTATGAAAATACAATAAGCTCAAGTGGGTGTGTGTAAACAATGAGTGAAATAAAATCAACTAAACTCAAATGTAAATACTAGCTTAATAGAAATGATAATCAATAAATAATTATAAATAGCTTAATAGAAATGATAATCAATAAATAATTATAAATAAAAGCTAGAATTGAGTTTAGGAAAACTTCTATAGATGACAAGAGAGAGAGATGGATTGAAGCTCAAATACCAAGTGATGATCTCTTCTAGCTCTTGTGAAATTGATTTCACAAAATCAAACTCTCAATTACTTAAAAGCTTTTTAAACAAACTTTAAACAAAACTTAAACCCTTGTTAAAACATTCTAAAACTTGTTTAAAACACTCTCATTGTTTTCTAAAATAGAAGGGGGTTTGGGGGTTTATATAGGAAGAGGAAGCAACAGCAAAAACCCCAAGGGAAAAGATCAAACAGCCCAAGAATCAGAAATCTGATTCTGTACCAAAAGATCCGTTGGGATAAACGGCGGTCAACCGCGGCGGTCGACCACGAGCAACAAAAACAACAGG